AGTTACAGGCTGAGTCATTTCTACCTTCTCCTCCCTGTCAACGCTCTCTGGTTTCATTTAAAAGAGTCGATCATCAGATATTGTCCAAGATTAACCTTCAGGGTGGRTATAGCTCGCTCACACCAAGGACTTATGCACGTCATCATTTACCCAGAATGCTTTGTGTGTAAATAAAATGGCTCCATCCGTGTTAAAATATATTTTTAAAAAATTACAAAACTAAACAGCCTACAGTACGTTTACAGTCTTTATTTTACAGTTAAAATAAATGTTTATCAAATAAAGTCTGATGTTACAACTAATTGGGGATCCCTTTAAAAATGGTATCATCATAGCCAGACCTGGCCCACATCTGGTTAGGAAACTACTTGCCATGCAAGCATTCCCAGCTTGACAGCAGATCTGGCCCACACTTGTCCGCTATGTGGGAAGAGTTTTGATGATGTCCGTGCACCGGATCTACTGGRAGATTCGACCCTGATTACAGTGTCTTTTGTCAAAGTAATTAGCTTAGATTTATGATCTTGCTGAATGAGCTYGTGTAAATTATTCACCTTGTCATATGTGATGGAGTCAAACTGTCCTTGGATGTYATGTGGCGTCACAATGTCTTCCTCTTCAACAGACAGGGGGTGGGATGAGGCTAAGGCATCTACAGCCATCACACCAAGGATCTCATCCAAAACTAGCAAGTCTTTCTGGAAGTCAAACAGTAAAACATATCATATACGTACTTTCAAAAAAACACTGCCTGTTTCTCATTTAAAAAATATTATACAATAAAATCACCATGTTCCATTCTGGTTCAGCGTAGTCCACTCCAAGGTAAGAAACGTAAGTGGCAAAGCCCTCGTTGAGCCACAGGTCATTCCACCACCTCATGGTCACCAAGTTCCCAAACCACTGAGAGGACCAGAGATTCAGTCACTTTCTGAACACTTCTACATTTTTTGAGGTTGGCATACTTCCAGTTATAAAAGACAATACCCATAATTCAGTGCTATACCATATGAGCCAGTTCATGAGAGATGACCGTAGCCACCCACTGCTTGTCGACATCAGAGGACATCTCAGGGTTGTACAAGAGCGACGTCTCTCTRTAGGTGACCAGACCCCAGTTCTCCATGGCTCCGGCTGAGAAGTCAGGAAGAGCGACATGGTCTAAAAACCACAATCGCAGAGGTTAGTTCAGGTTTTCCTACTGTTGTGTGCTCAGTCTAGAATTTACAGTTAAAAATGGATGTAAAAAAGTCACTGTGCTACTGTGTTTCTCTTACCTGATTTTTTCAAAGGGTAAGAAGACTTGTAGTAATCCTCATAAAATGCCAGTATAGGTCCAGTCTTCTCCAGGGCATAGTTGCCCTGTCCTTCCTCTATGGCCTCCCTGCGACCCCAGATCCTGATCTGGATCAGTAAAGAACCGTTTTTAATCCTTGGTCTCATTGGTGGGGTGTCTGCCAGTATGTATGTATGTATGTATGTATGTATGTATGTATGTATGTATGTATGTATGTAT